TAATTAAGCACTCCCTGATAACCCTAGGGTCAGCACAGTAGCTTCCAACAGCAAGGATTCGCACGATAAAAGGTCAGTCCACGAAGTGAGATAGAGGAACAAGCAGTAGTTTCGATTCCAAAAATAAAAGAACCGAAAAGCCCAAAAATGCGATGGTCACCTCAAATTCTAGAGATCCAGAGCAAGAAAAGGTGAAAATGGGACAAAAGAGCGTACCTAGGTAGAAAAGAGCAACGAATAGCGGCCTAGAGCGAAATGGAAGAAAAAAGGCAACGCGATTCTTCAAATTGAACCCACCAAACTCGATCTTGAACGAGGAATCGGAGAACTCCAAACCAGAAAATCATAAAATCACAAGAAGAGAGAAGCAACAGAGAAGTTGAACAAAAGAATAGGGCGGTTCAAATAGTCGTTTGAGCATTCAAAGCTTGAGAGACGTGGGCTAGAACATACACAGGAAATGAGGAAGTCATGATTGCTAAAAATCGTCAAAAAAGCCTCACTCATGTGCAAGCCAAGGTCAGCCACGTACAGATCCAGCTCGGTTTAAAAAGCAGCTCAACCCCTGCCCAAGCTTGCTTGAACCAGGGGCTGAGGGACAACTGATGATACCTCAAATAAGCTCTAGTTGAGAGCTCAAGTCAGAAGGTCAGGTCAGGAAAGGCACTGGGAACTCAGAGAACCAGGGGTAGAGCTCCCCTTGGTGAGATCATGACAGAACCAACCAGGAAACAGCTGGATAACTGCGAAAATTGAGCCCAATCGATGAAACTCTCAACCAACCGAAATTCTCTCCTAAAATCATGGAGGATCCCATGAATAATGGGCAAAAATCTCAGCTGAAATCTCACAGAATAGGGAGCAACCTTATAAGTACTATGTAACGCCTCATCGGTGGGGAGACCGAAGAAAAAAAACCCTAATTAGATCATGCGTTATATTTTAATACATTCAAGTAGTCAATAGAAAGAAGATGAGCAGTAGCCTCCATTAGAGAGTGGATTAGTCGTGCTCCAGAGCCGGTGAACCACTATATTCCTGTTATGCAAATTCCCCTATCCCCTATAAAACACTTCATCACTGTTATTATAAAGTTGGCAGCATAAATTTACCGTTGGTTCCACGCACTCTATTCATCCACATTAATCAGCACCATCAGAACATGGTAATTTTTTTTTATTCAGTCTAAAAATTATTTTTGATTTAAATAACATAAATATTTAACTTTATAAATATTCTAAAATATAACTCGATTTCTTTTCGACACACACAACGCACAAACTCAATACGAGATAAAATTAAAGGTATAAGATAATATATAATATACACATGTCTTTAAATTTATTTATAAATAATATCTTTTTTATCACCTAAAAACTTGTATTCCTATTGTTTATTTTATGTTGATATGAAATTATGAATTTTTTATTGAGTTGATTTGTATTCCCTTCGTATTTCTCTAATCACCAGTAGGGACCATACACCCTAGGGGCCCAAGGGACCATTCATGACACCTACGACAATCTCAGAGAAAGTGGAGCGCCAAGCCACCAGAGATCGTGGCGACAACAGCACCAGATGAACAGGGGCGCCAGATGAATTGTGATCGTGGTGGTGGCAAAAGAAGCAGGAAGGGGCAGAAGAAAGGACAAAAGGGATCAATATGGAGGGAAAAATAGCTAAAAACCTTAGGAAAAGACTAATATAAATAGAGAACGATAACCTGGCAAGAACATTCTCTCCCTCGAATCAAAAAACATTCAAGAGTCAAAAAACATAGAAAGCTAAGAGAGAATACTTAGACGCTCATTCTTTGTAAGTGGACTTTGAATCCTAGTTTCAGGAGGCACGCCTCCGATCAATGAATATACAAACCCAGCGAGCAAGAGACTTCATTGATAGTGGATGTAGCTTTAGTCTATCGGCTAAGGTGAACCACCTATATTCCCCGTCTAACTGATCACAAAAGATTAAACCATAACCAGCGAAACTAACTCAAAACATCATCCCATCATAGTTGGGATTGGGCCATAAATTCCGAGCACCATCAATCTCAAAGGAAAAGATCAAAATTGAGATATCAAAAAAGTTGCATATTTATAACTTTTAATTTTATTGTTGTAATATATAATTTGAGAACATTCATTTGTAGATTTTGGAGACTATTATTATTTAATTTTGAGGTAATTAAAGCTCTAGTCCTTATATTTGGGATATTGTTGTAGAATTGTGTTAATCGATTTATCAAATAATGCATCCAAAAAATAGGGGTGTTACAAAACTCTAATGAATAAGCTAATAATTAATGGTGAGCAAACTCAAATTTAAGAGATGAGTGTAATATGATAATTGAAATATGACCATTCAACAACAATTACTTGAGTTCATTTTTCACAAACACCTCATACAACTATTGAGATAGTATCGTGATTGCTTTGCACGGAGTTATGAAGAGATGTTAGGATTAAATTTGATCATGGTTGAACACCGATTACCTATCAATGATGGATATAGGCCGATAACCCTGATGTTGATGTCCAAAAAAGTGACTCTACTGGTCAAATAGAAGATCGAACGGTTTCTCCATACCAAAAGCATACGCATATGTGGAGATAGTGTTTAATATTGTGCCAATAAAGAAAAAGAATGGCAAGATCAGGGTGTGTAACGATTATTGAAATTTCAACATGAAAACCCCAAAGATAAGTACGTTATGCCCTTGACCGATTGGCTAATGGATGCAACGGCCATGAACGTTATTAGTAATTATAGAGAATAAAAAAAATTATTATTTCATATATATTTACTAGTTATTGCATGTGATTGGAGGCACAGAGTAATAAAAAATAGTAAATAATAAATATATTTGTATTCATATCCAAAATCAAATCACACACATAGAGAAGAGATAAAATAATTTAAACATCGATTTATAGTGAGGGTGAAAGGTGGGAGGTGACAGTGGTAATGGTAGAAGACGATGATGGTTGTGGTATGTGGCATTGACCGTGGTGACGGCGGCGACGTTGGGGACGATAGTGGTGGCGGTGGCGGTGCTGGTGGTGGCGACGTCGACAGGGGTGGCGACAAAGGTGGTGGTGGCAGCAATGATGGCAGTGGTGGTGGTGGTGATGATGGTGGTGATGACGGTGGTGGTGACGGTGGCGACAATGATAATGGCAATGATGGTGGGGGTGGCAGTGGCGATGGTGGTGGGGGTGGTGGTAGAGGTAGTGGTGAAACGGTTTCAAACATTATTTTTTTAAAAAAAATATTCATGGGTAATTATTTATAAAAGTACTTTTAGAAGTCACTCCAAACACACCATTATGAGTCTATTTTTTCTATTAAATTTAGAATGTTAATATTAACCGTTAGATTAACTTTAAAATAAAATTTAAAATGATCTCAACCGTGAATAGCAAAAATCATTTTTGTTTATCTTTTAAGATTTGAATCGTAAACTACTTTATTATATAGATATTACACAACTGATTTTAAATTTATTTGTGTCTTTAGGCACGAGTTAGTATTAGTGTGCAAAGAGAATATAAGCAGCTGAGTGAGTAAATATTAGGTCTAACGGTGATACCACGTCATCATTAACACGTGGTATCACCAACCAATTATAAAATAACAAAAATGATTGACGAATCCCACTGTTCCAATATGACAGAGATAGTTATTGGTAGTTAGTAAAATAATAAATCCCGCTAAGTACACTTCATATTTTATCACTGCTTGGTGAATCTACATCATCAATACCATGTAGTATATCTGATATATTATTTAAAAAATATTGGGTGTAATTGTGACGTTATGTCATCATTATCACGTGATGTCATAATTTAATAAAAATATAATAAATAAGTAGATGAATCACACATATTATAGAAATTACCCTATCATGTCTTCACCGACCTTTGTCATTTAATAACCACTTAAATGGAGTTCACCTTATTTATTTATAAAGTTCATTGCACTAGAGATCCCCTCAAAGTATGAGGTTTGTTTAGTTTTGGTTCTCAATGTTTCAATTATATATTTTTGGTCACTAAAATATTGAATATATTTTTATATAATTTTTCAAGCAGACAACGTCTAAATTGCTAATGATTTTTTATCATAAAATTGTCATGCAATACCTTAGTATGAACAAAAAAAAATTTGTTAACTTTTAAATAAAATTTGGGTAATTTTGACAAAAAAATGTGTAATATGGGTAATTTTTAATTAAAATTTGGATAATTCATAATTAAAATTGTGTAATTTAGGTAGTTATTTAACCAAAATTTGTATAAAAATTTGGTTAAGAGTTATCAAAACTATTTTTTTGTCTATGTTTATGTATCACGTGACAAGTTTAAAATAAAAAATTGTTAGCAATTTGGACGCTGCCTTCTTGAGGGACCATATTAAAGCATATTCAATACTTCAGAGTTTTTTATGTTTTATTGTAATTATTATTGTAGTTATTTTAGGTTTTAATGTTCTTAATTTATTGAGTTGTTAAATTGATGCATGTTATTTAATTGAATTGTTAAATTAATCAAAAAATTAATAGTTACAAAAGTATTTATCCGATTTCTTAGTATTTATCTGATTTCTTACCCGAGTAATCGGATAAGAAGTCGAGTAGAAATACCACACCTGATCGAATATGTTAGGTTCAAAAAAAAAAATTCGCAAAGTATCAGATAGAAAGACGAAAAACTATATTTTTTATCAGTATGGTAGGGTAAACACCCTACTTTAGAGACCAAAATAATATAATTAAAATATTAAAAATTAAAATGAGGTAAATCTCGTACTCTAAGAACCTATAATATAATTAACTCTTATTTATAAACATAAATTTATGATTAGATCATCATACTACGTCTCCGGGAGCAAGTGGCAGTTTCGTAATTAAAATAAGATCTGAACCTCTCGTTCTAAAGAACGACGCAAGCGTCGAAGGAAAGAAGATGCCCTTATTCCTATTAGGAGGAAGCGAATGTCACAAATCAAATTTGACCAATCCAAACCACACCACACTGTCGGTCTGATTCGTTAGACTCCTGTCTACACCACTCTCTGGGGACACTGCCGCCGGTAGAGCAGCAGCCAGCAATGAGGAAAGACGGTTCACCGGTCACCGTCTCCGGCAACGCCGTCGGAAAAGTGTTCCTCTGCTTCGAAACTAAACCCTTAGTGGCCACATTGCTAGCTCTCGCCCTGGTCATGTTCATCTGGAACCTCCAACCTTATTACGAAAACATACTTTCCACCACCACCCGCTGCTCTGTCCCTACCTCCTCTGCCTCCGGCGGCTCATCTTTGCCATTTACTGCCACTCCCTTGGCAGAACAGAAGCTCGTCACCCCCAAGTCCATCGACCCTAACAAGCGTACCTTCCAATCGTACGGAAACGCCGCAGCTCTTTTCGTCCAGATGGGAGGCTACCGCGGCGGTCCCCGAACATTCGCAGTGGTGGGTCTCGCCTCCAAACCCTTGCACGTGTTCGGCCACCCCTGGTACAAATGTGAGTGGATCTCGAACAATGGTTCTTCCACCAAGGCAAAGGCCTACAAAATGCTCCCAGATTGGGGATATGGTCGCGTCTACACTGTGGTGGTTGTTAATTGTACATTTTCTGTGAATCCCAACGAGGAAAACAGGGGTGGGAAGCTCGTTCTCTACGCCTATTATGGTGAGTCGCCGAAGAAGTATGAGAAGATCACCTCCTTGGAAGAAGCACCCGGGTCTTACGATGAGTCCAAGTATAGACCACCGTATGAGTACGAGTATTTATATTGTGGGTCGTCTTTGTACGGGAATCTGAGTGGTGCGAGGATGAGGGAATGGATGGCTTATCATGCTTGGTTCTTTGGGCCTAGGTCCCATTTTGTGTTCCACGATGCTGGAGGGGTGACGCCTGGGATGTGGGCGGCGTTGGAGCCGTGGGTGCGAGCTGGGAGGGCCACGGTTCAGGACATTAGGGGTCAGGCGGAGTTCGATGGTTACTACTACAATCAGTTCTTGGTGGTGAATGACTGTCTCCATCGCTACCGACACGCAGCCAACTGGACATTTTATTTTGATGTGGACGAATACATTTATCTCCCCGATGGGAACACTCTGGAATCGGTTTTAAATGAGTTTGGAACTAATAATACTCAGTTTACGATTGAGCAAAATGCAATGTCCAATGTGCTCTGTTTGAACGATTCCACTCAGGATTACTCCAGGTACTCTCTTTCTCTCTCTATATATATATATTTATATGTATACCAATAATACTCTTTCCCAATGCTATTTTTTCAATTCATCTTTCAGATCAATAATGTCGGTGAAGATTGCATAGATGTTTGTTTTG